TAAAACGTCTTGACTGCATAATGAAAGCACAATATGATATCAGATTTATGTCGCAACATTTGAAATCAAAATGAGTTTTCATTATGATAGGAACTGCACACTTTAATATCGATTTGCTTTCATTTTGTTAACCGACTTTGCTCGGGTTCACTTCCACAAATGGGAGCGCGGCTGGTGGGAAGAACTGTCCGGGACGCTATACCCAACCCGTTGACGGCGAATCTTCCAGCGCGGCCTATGATCACGGAACAAGGAACGACGAATCATCTCTCAAGCACAAACCGACACCCTCTTCAAGTTTTTCCCTCATGTCCACCACAAATCAAACTCCCGGAATCATTCATCAACATTCCAGCGATATACAGAAAAAGGAGATCTCTGGCCCTTACTGCTGTACAAAAAAACGAACCATTACCACCAAGATGACGACACATCGACGACTTCTCAAACCAACAACGGAAAGGGGTTCGTAAACCCCAAGCCCTTCCCTGCGCTGACCCTGACCAGAGATGTTCCACGTGTTCGTGATGATCCTCTGGTGGCAGTCAGTGCGGGGGCCTGCTTTCACAGGCAAGTAGACATAACGTTCCACCCCAAAGCACAATACCTTCCAACACACTTCACTCTTCAGCATCAATGAACATCGATGACTTCGGTCATGCATCACCAATCAGTTCAAGGAACGATGACGAATGCAGACCAGAACCAGCACCCACATCGAATAATCTAAATACAACGAACCCCTTACACGAAAAGACGATTGCGATACAATGGAACGTCAACGGTGTACGAGAAAGATATGCAGAACTTCAGTTAATCACGAACGAATACCATCCAGCAATCATAGCGTTGCAAGAAACTCGACTCACTAAAACGGAGATCCTCAAACGCTTCCACCACGCTGAATATCAATGGAAAATCCGTCCTGGCCCGTTGAGAAGATCTCAAAACGGAGTTGACCTCGCAGTCCACAATAACGCTTTCCGCAAATTTCTAAAATTGAATACTTCTCTGCAAGCTGTGGCAGCCGAAGTCAACTTTCCTATCAGAGCAACTTATGTAAGCATTTATATCCCGTGTCATTCACAACCTCAGGAACTGAAGGAAAAACTAAGCCACTTAATTCAGAAAATTCCCCATCCTTACATACTACTCGGAAATTTCAACGCTCACAACCCAGCGTGGGGTAGCTGCAAAACAGATGCCAAAGGGAAAATCATTGAGGATTTCATCAGCGAAAACAACCTTGTACTTCTAAACTCAGGTGACCACACCAGGTTGGACCCTAGAACCGGATCTACGTCTGCCATAGACCTTTCTATTGCATCTTATGAGCTAGTACGACAGCTTGAGTGGAAGGTGGATAACGATACGCGAACAAGCGATCACTTTCCGATAATTATTTCGTCCCACCAAACAACCCCACGACCTCATAGTCGAAAACTCTGGCTCCACAAAAATGCTGACTGGGAAGAATTTGAAAATTCTATCACCGAACTTATCCCACGTAACAGGTCACTCTCTGTCGAAGAATTCAGTGAAGCTATTGTCAAGGCAGCTTCGCTTAGCACCCCAAAATCATCTGATAGGATTGGATCCAAAGCTGTTCCATGGTGGAGTAACGCAGTTAAAGAAGCGATCGGTAAACGTAGGAAAGCGCTGCGCAGACTAAAACGGTTAAAAGACGGAGATCCACTTAACAAGAATCAAGAAACAAGGAGAATCGTGACGAACGCAAAGAAATCATCATGGGATTCTTTTGTAGCTTCATTCAACCCCCAGCAGCGAAATGTGGCGTAGAGTAAATGCATTTTGTGGTAAAACACCCCCAAGATGTAGGGTGCTAAAAGTTAATGGAGATACCATCGAGGAACCCACAGAATTCTTCGAAAAAGTGTCACAAACAACCAACACTAACTCGTTTCAACCTAACAAACCATCGATTTTCGACGACTCTCATAAAACAGAGGACGAATATAACAAGGACTTCACAATCGAAGAACTCATATGGGCTTTAGACAGAAGAGGCAGCGAATCCGTAGGCATCGCCAACATCAGTTACCCTATGCTCCGTCGACTTCCCTTCAGGGTGAAGGCTCAGCTCCTTGAAACAATAAATGGCATCTGGAGATCCGGCTCGTTACCCCCCGGCTGGAAAGAGGGATTAATCATTCCGATACCAAAACCCGGCCAAGATCCTAAAGTTCTTGGAAATCAAAGACCAATCACTCTACTAAGCTGCTTCAGTAAAACGGTAGAACGAATGGTTAACCGTCGGTTACTCAACACACTCGAACAACGTCATCTTCTGAACAAGCACCAATTCGCCTTTCGCAGAGGACGAGGTGTCGACACATACCTGGCAATCCTGGAAAACAAAATCCGGGAGCCCATGGAAGGTGGAGAGCATTGTGAGATACTAATGATGGATATCGCGAAGGCATATGATACCGCAGACAGAGAAACAATCAACACTAGATTAACAGAATGGGGCCTTCGCGGACGAATGATTAAATTCGTGAAAAACTTCCTATCTGACCGGTACTTTCGTGTTGTAGTAGGAGACACTATCTCCTCTCGTAAAGTACAAATCAATAGCGTGCCACAAGGCTCGATTCTAGCAGTTACACTATTTCTGGTTTTAATGGAAAGCATTTTCGAGCAAATCCCCGAAGAAATCGAAATCCTAGTCTACGCCGACGACGTAATTCTTATAGTAACCGACCTTGATCCTAAAAAAGTCAGGAAGAAATCTAAAAAAGCTGCCAGAATTCTGGAAACATGGAGTACACACGTTGGCCTTACTATTTCAGCGGAAAAATCGAGCCTCATGCATATCTGCAGAAAGCGCAAACACCCAGAAACCCTCGAAGTACAAATCAACAACATACCAATACCAATCGTACAATCGGCAAGGATACTCGGCATTCATCTGGACAAAAACTTCAACTTCAAAAAACACTCTTCTGAAGTTCACAATAAATGCCAAACACCGATCAATCTCCTCAAGACTATTGGAAATCGAAGGGAAGGTGGAGCAAGGACAACTCTTTCTAAGGTTTTTAAAACTGTTCTGATTCCAAAAATTTTCTTTGGAATAGGTCTCGTCAGCGGTGGCAGCGTGTCGAATCCTAAAAATCTACAACCCTTATACAACGCGGGTGTCAGAGAATCCAGCGGTGCTTTTCGTTCCAGCCCTGTTGAAGCGATAATGGTCGAGTCAGGACAGCTTCCTTTCTCAGATCTTTGGGTTCAACATATGACTACAAAAGCCATCCGTCTGTTAGAGATGGGCGGTATTTTATTCGGATACGTAATGTCATGGTCAAATGAAAATTCAGGTGGCAGCTTTCCTTCTGTGCGAAGAGCAAGTCTTGCCTATGAAAAACTTACTGGTGAAATTTTGCCTGAAATAATTCCCTTGAAGAGAGCCGGTAGAAGGTTTTGGAATTCACGAATACCTCGAGTAGATTGGACCCTTAAAAAGCAATATAAAGTAGGGGATCCGCCTGTGATAGCACAACAAATATATCTCGATCTGTGCCAACATAAATATCTATTCCATAGACGTTTGTTCACGGATGGCTCTGTGGACTCCGGAAGGGTTGGTTTCGGGATATTCTCTGAAACACAAGAAGCTCACTTCCAACTACCTGCTATATGCTCCATTTTTTCAGCTGAAGCCATGGCCATCCTCTACGCTACAACCAATTTTGTCAAGACAAACGAAGCCACCGTAATCTACACAGATTCTGCCAGCGTACTGGAAGCATTAGAGAAAAGACTATCACATCACCCGTGGATCCAATCTATTGAAATCGAAGCAGAAAGCAAAAACATCGACTTCTGTTGGATCCCGGGCCACGTTGGAATATTAGGAAACACCAAAGCAGACGATTTAGCCAAACAAGGAAGATGTGGAGATCTTTTGAATATTGCAGTTCCCGGTGAAGACGTAGTAAGACAATGGGAGGTCCAATGGAATAATAGCAGTAATTTTCTTCGAATTTGTAAACCATCTACACTTGCCTGGACTGATCGATCCTCCCCCACGGAGCAGCGAGCTCTCACTCGTTTGAGAATCGGTCACACACGCTTAACACATCAGCACCTCTTCAACAAAGAAAGCAACATGTGCCAGACATGCGGTGAACCATTAAACGTTCGTCACCTCCTGGTTGATTGCAGGAAGTATGATCAACAACGGCAAGAGTGTCACCTAAAGGACAATGTTACTGAAATATTATATTGTGACAGAATAGAAGAATCATAACTTATGAAATTCTTACGGAAAACAAATTTGATCAACCAGATTTAAAAGTTACTAAGTTAGGCAAAACTTGAACTATCGGCTTAGAGCACTATGTAATAACTATTTATTTATTTATTTTTTTTCCTTGAAATACATTTACAGGGATGAATGACTGCACAAGCAGTTAAAATTCCTTAAAAAAAAGTAACGAAATTAAATGACTTGAGCAAAACCATTACATGGAGCCGTTAAAGTGAACAAGTATCTACGTCCTGAACTGCTTATATACCAATAATGTGACACAGAATGCACGAAATTACACGTTTTGTAGCTAGGTGAATCTTTGTCATTGATGAAAAAAATAATGAGGTTTGACAAACGTTTTTTTGAGGATTAAATTTATCAGCGACTACGTGATAAACAATTTTGTCAATATCGCGCGAAAGTCTGTCAATGACTATGCCAATTCTCAGTGCTGTTCACTAGGCATCTTTTCTTCGATGCAACAGGTTTTCCTAATGAAGGATTTCTAGTTAGTATTGAACCGATTCAAACATAGTACAGCTGGAAGCCGTCCTTGTATGTGATCTTTGTGATTATCTTCAGTTAGCTTACAGTATCTTTGATTGCGGTGTGTGCTCAACTGTTCTAATGTTTATATTATCCGATGTTTGTAATCCAGCGTGTTCACAAATCACCTTTAAATGCTTCTTGACTGCTCACTAGTCAATTCATTTCTCCTAGCTACTACACGATAATTGGACTGAACCTCCACGTTTGATATTTTTGCATAGAATATGAACTTCTTCTGCACAGGAATCATTGCATTCGCCTTCGTGAATTTCGTATCACCCCAATCCGAATCTACCCCTGAACCAGTGAACACAACTTCCCAAGTGGACTTTTCATGGAATGCGTACAAAAAGGTAATCGTTTGATTCATTTTTTAGTTCTCTTGCTTCCAACAATGTATCTTGTTCACAGACATTCTCCAAATACAAGGAGAACTTCGTCATGTCCCCGTATTCGCTCCGCAGACTATTTTCGTGCCTACAAGGGGTGAAGCTACTTTCCCCAACAGCCAATCCCAAGCTCCAGCAAGAACTGAGCAAGGTTCTGGAGCTCAAACCCAACGATCAACCATCGGAGCAAGCTCATCGGTCTTACGTGGCCCAATGGCTACGATTGGCAGAGGCAAAAAATCTCAACATGACCACGATGGTGGTTGCCATCGGTAGACAGAAGGCATCGCAAGCTTTCGACAGCATAATCGAGAACTGTGTAATCTACACCGGTTACCTCCAGCCGTCCACCTCCAAACTGATGGGCCAGATTATCAACAATGCGCTGGAGAACATCACCCACCACTCGGTGAAAGATTTTCTCACCGAAACGGATATCAACAAAAATTGGAAGTTTTTCGCCGTGGACTCCTGGCAGTTTAAGGGATTATGGAAGTACAAATTTCAGAAAGAGTTCACCGCTACCTGCAACTTCTTTGAAAGCAAGGATAAGAAAGCGTTGACCAACTTCATGTATCTGGAGGAGAACCTAAAATATGGACACTTTCCACAGTGGAAAGTACAAGCCGTGGAGCTACCGTATGACGATCAAAGTCCATTGTCTTGTGTACTACTGATGCCCGTTGGAACTAGTATAGATGCTTTGATCAGTGGCTTAAATCACACTTGGTTCAAACAAATCTACTCGAAGATGGTACCATCCAGGACCACGGTTAGACTTCCGCAGTTTGGTTTGCGAACAACGGTTCCGGGAAGGCAGCTGCTCGAAGAGATGGGATTGAATGTGCCATTCAATAATGGCGTGTTTCAGGTGTTTGAACGTGGACAAAAGGTACTGCTGGGCGAAATCGTTCAGAAGGTGGAACTGGAGATGGGTTACGAAGGACAGGAAACAGCACAACGTTTTGTCGACAAACGTTCGGATAAGCAATTCACCGCCCAACAACCGTTTGTGTTTGTAATTTTCGACCGCACCGATCTGGTGCCCGTTCTGATGGGACAGTACCTGAAGGTCCCGGAGAACGCATCTTCGGAAAAGGAAGACAAACAACATTGCGAAGGTCCACCGAATCCGAGCAGTTTCTTGTAACGTTTGGGAAACACTTGAGCAAAATGAGATGAAATACAGGAAGTAGTGACTTTTGAGAGCTGCTGCAGTTGTTTTCATTCGGTTTGGAATTCAAGATTATTAGAAGAGTTTTGTGGTTGTTTAAGTGACTTTAAGGCAATTTTAGTGTATTAAAGTCGGTAATAATAGGCTGGGTACGCATTTGTGACGGGCTGTTTGGACGTTTTAAAGACTATTTCGGTGTATTCAACAATTAGGGCTCCAGGGCTTCAAGCCATTTCAGTGGTTGCGTTTTTAGGCATTTTAAGCATTTGGTAAGGTATTGTTTTGCTCTTTCAATTGAAGCATTTTTAAGCCGTTTTAATGTGATTCTATTTTTGGGTTTCAGGCAATTCAAACTGCTACAAAATTTTTCGTTGTGAATAGATTTAAGAGGCGTTCGAAAGGTCATTGCTTAGGCTACAAATGAGAAAAATTTCAGCTAATTTGGATTAACGTACTACAAGAAATAGAAGTTTTAAAAGGGGTATAAAAATAAACTTTTTACTAAAATTGCTTAAACTTCATGCAGACTCATTCAATCAAATACTTAATCAACCAGCTTTCAAGATTACAATTTTGATGCACATTCTGAACAATTACAACATTGAGCTTATTTTTTGCGATACTATAAACTTTTGTCCGGTACTGTATTTGCTACATACAAGCTGGATTTACTCCAGGATTACGGTATTTCTGCAATGGTATGAGTCTTTCACACACATAACCGTAATCCGTAAAGACGGTAGCGTCACTCATTGGGAGTAGCCTTATCACGTTGCATATTTAACTTTTAATAAAATTTAAATCGCAAGCAGTCTGTTTCGTCCCACTTTGCTAATCGGTAGTGAGATTGATTCTCGTACAACATGAAATTCGTGTATTGCTTAACATTAGTCCTGATCACATCTGAACTCAGCTATGGAATGTCTTGTAAGTACGGAAGAGTTATTTTTATTCATCAAATTCTAATTGTCAGCCCACTATTCAGCATTCACGAAAGCGTCGGTAAAGTTCACCCTGAACTTTTTCCGGACGGCATACAATATGGATTCCAGCAAAAATTGCGTCTTCTCTCCTATCGCAATTCAGCGCCTGTTTACTATGCTGCATCACGCAGCCAGAGATGACGTATCCAGCCAAATGGAAACCCTTCTTGGATTACCCAAAAATCTTCAATCGCTGCAGAACGGCTTGAATAATCATGCTCTGGAAATGATCACCAAGGTGTACCATTCGCAGGTGGAACTAGAGCCTCATCTGTTGCCGGTACTTCAAACCGAACACGAGGTTGACGTACAGGCCCTGGATTTCAGCCGTCAAGAGCCTATCGTTCGCGTTGTCAACAATTGGGCTTCCCGATTTACGAACGGAATTGTGAAAAATGTGTTCAGTACACAAGGTTTGGCCGACGATGCTAACCTAGTCATGGTCAACACCCTCACCTTAAGCGCATCGTGGGAGAATCAGTTTAATCCATTTTTTACGACACAGCGGTCTTTCAATTTTATCAATGGAGCTCGAGAAGTTGACATGATGCGAACAACCGATTACTGCAGATTCGCTGAGATCAACGATCTTCAAATAGTGGAAGTGTTCTTTCAGAAGGACACTAATTTATCCATGTTGTTCATAAGGTCCAAGTCCCGTCCTCTGGAAAACGTCATCGAGAAGTTTGATCTGTACACATATCGGTTGATCGATGAGCGATTGTCATTTAGACATTTAGAATTGGAAATCCCCAAATTTTCGATTAGCACGGGACTCGAGGTAAAACTCGTTCTGGATGCACTGGGGCTGGGTGCGATTTTTAGTAAGGATGCATTTGAGGTATTCGCTGACTTCACCAGCCAACTGTCGAACGTTTACCAAATCTTGAGGGTCGACATCAACGAGACTGGCACAAGGGCGGCTGCTGGAACGCGTAAGGTGATGCTGATGGGAAAGAGGGCCTATCCCAGGTTCGCCGTCAATGGTCCTTTCATGTTTCTGATTCGAAAGACTTCCTCGAAGGATATCATATTCATTGGACACTACTCAAGACGTGATGAATAAATGTGATTGAGTTCTGCTGTGCAGTTCTATGTTATACTATTATTAATGATTTGAAACACATTTGAGCTTGTCAACAGATAAAACGCCAAAATAAACAACAAAAACGATCTGGCTTGTAATTTGTTACCGTTTTGGTTCCTGTACCCTATTGATTCACTTCAAGCCTAAGAGAAGAGGTGACAATACGGGGGCAAAAATGAACCACTTTTCTGTCAAACGTGAACCAGCTCCTGATTGGCCGATTGCATGTGCGTAAGACAGAGATAGAGATAGATAAAGATAGAGATAGAGATAGAAATAAAAGAGGAAGAAGCCAATTGTCACCTCTTTCTCTTAGCTTCAAGCGAGAAAAACCAGGAGATAGCGAAAGCGAGGAATAGGGTATATGTGTATTCATTGTGAATTCAATCAGTATGCCAGTTTCTTGTATGCAATATTGTCTTGTTTTTGAATGTAAATATAAGTAGATATGTAAGTCAAATGAAAAACCACTCCCAAACCAACGGCCCAATTAAATATTGTAATCCAGTCATACCAACAACACATAACACAGAACACATAACGGGAAGGAGTAAGGATGAAGGTGGACGTTGGAAACAGGAGAAGGATTTGGACAAGAGGTGGTGGAAAAGTGGGAGGGAGGTGGAAATGGGCTTAGGTCAAGGGGGAAGCTACTGGGTCAAACTGAAAAGAAAGTTCTCTTCTACTTCAGCCATTGCGCAAGATAGTTCCTATAAATTATCAGTGAGTTTAATAGTGAAGAGTTATCAACAAATACCGGCTAATACCACCGAATACGGAGTCAGTCAGGACCCATTAATTACGGGCTAAACCACGAGGGCGTTTCGTTAACAAGCCAACACCCGTGTAGCAAGCGTCCATCGGTAATACACCGAAGACCACTGAGAGACCACCGTCGATCACCCGATCGAGCCCCAGTATAACATCCGTCGTGCCACACGGTGACACCCGTCGAGCACCGGCATCCACCGTGAACAATCCGTTCATCCGCCGCCGAAAAACCCCACCCACTGCAGAATCCCGTCATCGCTGGCCAGACTACACGCACACAGTTGAAAATAGTGGATTCAGCCTACTCTGATGGAGAGTTGTGTGAGCACATTACTACTTTCTAGCAGGTCTTCTTGCCATTTTCGAACCGGCGTCCCAACCAAAACACCAGCTTCCGTGATCAGTTGTTCCTGGTTCATTTCACGAAGGGATCCACCAGTCTTGCGGCTCTGAGATCCAAAATCCGGGACCTGTTTCAGGTCATCATCAGTTGGGAGCATTACAAACCCCAACATCGTGATGTAACGCAGTGTATGAACTGCCTCTCATATGGCCATGGCACCAAAAACTGCCACATGAAGACAAACTGCGGCGAGTGTGCTGGAACTCACTCAACTGCATCCAGTGAGCAAGTCGATGACATCGAGCCAACGTGTTGCAACTGCGGTGGAAACCACCAAGCCTCCAATCGCGGATGTCCCAAGCGAGTGGAGTTCATTAATATCCGTCGGAAGGCCACAATCAACAACCAGCTCGGTCGCCTTCGTAATCATCGTTCGCCTCCTGTACTAACGGAAGTCCAGTACCCAGCTCTCCAGCCCCGTCGACATGTTCCGAACCTAGCTCCGCTTCCGCTCAACAACCAACAAGCCAATCCTGCGAGTATCCAAATGGTTCCCAACAGTCGGACAGTTCAGCATTGTCTCGCTGTTGCTGCGGCCCAGCCAATTCCAGGTTCATCCACCGCCCCTGGTTTATCATACGCTGGTGCTGTCTCAGGTGAATCTGTCGACGATTCTCCGTTCACCTCGGAGGAACTTGTGACGCTCGTGGCCGAGGTCATCATCATCATGCGTACCTGCAAGACTCGATCTGAACAGCTTCATGCTGCCTTGTCACTCGTCACCAAGTATGGACCGTGAAGCTATAAAAATTGCAAATTGGAACGCTTGCTCACTGACGAACAAGCATAGAGAGCTATTCGATTTCCTCAACACCAAGAAGGTCGACATTGCTATCATCACCGAGACGCATTTGAAGCCCAAACTGAACGTATTCCTTCCCGACTTCCGGCTCGTCAGACTTGATCGCACCTGCTCTGGAGGTGGAGGAGTGGCCATCGCTGCAAGACGGAACATCAGTTTCCGGCTGCTACCAAACTTCCAGCTGAAAACAATTGAAGCCATCGGAGTGGAGGTGAGCACATCACTTGGCCCAATCACCATCATCACGGCCTACTGCCCCAAGCAAACCAACATCAGGGACAGGTCGTCAGTGGCCCTCCGGAAAGACATCATCAAACTCACCCGGAGGAGCGGGAACTTTATCATCGCTGGCGATCTGAACGCAAAACACCAAGCTTGGGGCAACGGTCGGAGCAATAGAAACGGCATCATACTCAATGAAGTGAAACTAATGTTCTGCCCGACAACAACTCAGCAGCACGAGACTCTTTGAACTGTGTCTCAGAGTCGGCGCACTACTGGGCAAACTGGAGGGGCTACGCGGATGAAAAGGCCCTCAAGCTTTCAATTAAACTGAAACACAACGCGGATCAATTTAAACACTGTATTTCTCCAATTACCGATAGTGTGGATTGTGTGGTGTTGTGTTCGATTTTCTTGGCACATACCCTTGATGACGATGGCGACTACGACGACTGCAGACCAACGAGCGCTGGCTGTGGTTCCGGAAAGATCCTTAAAGGCCGATCTTGTCGGCAAGATGGCGGTACCACCGCTCGGTGAAATTCCGGTACAATTCCGACAATGGCGGACGAAGCGAGGCTGACCAAACGTCGGCCGTAGTGCGATGCCGGGTTGGTTTTACCAGGCTGGTATAGCGGTTTGTGGAGATGGTTCCGATGCACAGGCGCTTCCTTCTGACGAAGCCGGTCGACGACGGCAAGGCCGCCCTCTGTCGAACCGGGAAGGGAAATTCTCCTTGGCGTTTAGGGCCTTCAGCCCGAGAACGATGTCCTTTACGGTTAGGTCAAGGTAACTCAATGTCACCTAGACCGTAGCGTGCAATGGCGGTCCTTGACTCGCCAACCAGAAAACCATTTGATTGGTTGAAAAGAAAGGTCCTGAATCAGCTGAATTGGTGATTTCCACTGCACCTTGATTCACTACTCGCACTGTTTTCTGCTAAAATGTATTCCACAGACACTTCTGGTCTACACGCTCGCCTGAGATAAAGTGAACGATGGCCGTTCTCTAAGCATCGTAGAACCCTTCAGCTCATCACCCGTGACTCCGTGTCACCATTTTGCCGCGGTCATGCGCGCCTTATTCAGCAGTCGGCCGTTAAGCATGGTCGTATCGTCTGCCCAGTGGGTTTCACCGCAAGTGTTACACAAATTTATTTGAATGCTCGATCACATGGTGCATATTTAAAATATTGTATTGAACCTTTGTAACAGAACGGTTACAGAAGACCTGCAAGAGGGCCACTATACCATCTTGGTCCCGGACTCTCCCACCCGGTTGAGTCGGTTTGGGGTCCATGCGACCATCGACATCTTCGTAAGCAACATGGGACACAACATCTCGCAACCTGTGGCATTCCAGGAGCTGACCTCGGACCACTACCCGGTGGTGGCCGAAGTTGGATCCTCGGTAAACCGATTCGAAGCTTCCCGGTGCAACTATCGTCGAGTCAACTGGGCGCAATATCAACACTGCGTCGACACAACCATCGACTACGTCCAACTGGGGACGTCCGAAGATGTTGACCGGTGTCTACAAACCATCGAGGAGGCGATGTTTCGGGCCAGGGAACAACACGTGCCAGTATCCAGACAGGTGAGTAACACTCTGAACCTTGACAGCCCTACCAAAGATCTCATTAGACTCCGTAACACCATTCGTAGGCAGTACCAGCGTACTGGCCTGTCTAACTTGAAGACCAATTGTAATCGATTAACAAAGATGATTCAGGCCAGGATGGTGGATCTCAGAAATAACGATTTTGATAGTAAGATCCGCTCTCTCCCTGATTGTGCTAAGCCCTTCTGGAAACTTACAAAAAATCTTAAAAACAAGCCTTGGCCCATTCCCCCACTGACCTCACTGGATCGTCCCGGCGACCCAGTGGTTTATCTGATAACTCCTGAAGAGAAGGCTGCCGCGATAGGTCAACACTTCGTCAGCTCCCATAATCTCGGACAAAACATCGTCAGCCCTCATGAATATGAGGTTGCTGAAAATGCAACCAATCTTCTTCAGATTCCTAACATTTTTCCAGAGGAATCCGAGATTACGGCTGACGAACTGTTGGCCTATATCAAATCATCTAAAAACATGAAGGCCCCAGGTTTCGACAACATCCTGAATCTGGAACTCAAACAATTGAGCTCCAGATTCTACAACCAACTGGCACTGATTTTTAATCAGTGCCTCATACTTGGCTACTTCCCCTCGTGTTGGAAGTCAGCTAAAGTCATACCCATCCGGAAACCTGGGAAGGATCCGTCTTCTCCTTCAAGCTATCGACCAATCAGCCTTCTCTCAGGGTTATCAAAACTGTTCGAAAGAGCACTGTACTACCGGCTCCTAACATCTGCCGATGAAAACAACTTGTTACTCGAGGAACAGTTTGGTTTTCGGAAAGGTCGTTCGACCGTCCACCAGCTGACTCGAGTAACAAACACTTCCACGCTTCCTTTTTTTTCCATTCAAATTTAAATTTATATGCCAGTTTAAGAGGATGTAATTGCTCTCTCCTGATGATATGACCATAATAAGAAATTCTGCCCACTCTGATTCTTCTATCAATTGTTTTTCCTGCTAACTCTTTCCTAACATTCAACTTTCTATTTTCCTTTCTACAATAATTCCAAAAATCCTTCACAATGAGTTTTTCGTATTTCGCCAATTGCAATCTGCTTCTCTTAGTGAGTGTGGATACTTTTGTTCCATATTGAATTGCCGGAGAAATGACTGTGTTGTAAATTAGTCTCCCGATTTCCCATGACGGATTAAAGGTTTTACAAAATTGAACAATCGATTTGG